TATAGAAGGATTTGACATATAAATCGGGAGGAAAGCCCAAAGTGATTCAGGTCATAGACGTTTAACACTTATGGTGCTGTCAAACCAAGGATCGGTAGGTTCTGGCACGCCTTAAGGACGGGACGTTGCACAGCTCATTGAGACCCTTCAGACGAATCGTCCACCTACTGGAGACAGATTAAGTGAGTTAAATGTCATTTTGAAGAGTAGAACAGTATTTCAGTTATTTCAAGGCCTATCGGCTTAAGGTAAAGCATAAATCATCAGAAAATGGAAGATCACTGAAGGTAACAATCTGAAACGTCAACGCCGGAGAAAAATCAGTCTCGATTACCCCCAGGAACAGATTCCACTGGGCGTAAAGGGCGAAATAGCGCTGGAAATTATATGAATGGATCACTGAAGTGAGTGAGTGAGTTGGGTTTAACGCCGCTTTTAACAGTATTCCAGTCATATCACGGCGTGTCACCTTAATGTGGGAGGAAAAGCCCGAAGTGATGCAGGTCTCAGACGTTTACCACTTCGGTTGAAACCCACGAGCACGGGTATGCATGGTGCTGACAAACCTAGAATCATAATCGGGGCGAACCGTGATTCGAACCCACAATCATAGGTTCCTGGCGTGCCCAAGGGACGCAACTCTGCACAGCGAATCGCGGCGCCTTAGACGACTGGGCCATCCGTGCCCCTGGATCACTGAAAATCAGTGTTGACATCATGTTTTCGCGAAAAGGGTTAGCATGTCCTGCCCTACCGGTCGCATCGCCACTTACACAATTTGCACACAAAAAGTAAATGTATGTTTGTTGGCTGACGCTTCATAGCAGTACACCTGTCGAGGAGAATGAAAGGGTTTCTCAACAATCCTATATACATTCAATAGGTCCAACTGGGCGTAAAAGGCAAAGCAGAGGTGAAATTGTATGACTGGATCACTGAAAATCAGTGATGACACCAGGTGTTCGCGAAAGGATAATGAATTCTAGCTTCCCTGTCTGAGTATTAAGCCAGGACATGTTCCTCAACAGGATCAGTATAAATAAATAAACATTCCACACACACACTGAAAACACTTTTCTAAAACACTTTGAATGTCTTTTTGTCCATTCCCAGTCCACTATTACAACTATACTGCCGATCTATGGAGCGTGGAGCCATTCCCTATTCCCAGGTTGGCCTCAGAGTATGGTACCGAGGCTTGGTGTGACATTGAGACATTGGAGGATGTCTTTTACCCATCTGACTTTGATTACTCGGGGAAGATGATGTTGTATAGAAACCATCACCCTGATGGTGAGTATTACATTTCTGAAGACCTACGTACCATCTGGAAATTTGAATAGTGCAAACAATGGCAACATTCCATCCTCATTTTACTGCCAAGACCATGATCAGTGACCTTGCAACATTTTAGGATCTGATCAGATGATACCCTCGTGTCAAGCCACCATTCTCTTGATGCCTCATTCGAACGTGATCCATACTATAAGTTGATAGCTGTTCTGCAGATATATCATAGCAAATCATGAAGGTAAACGTCTAGTTATTAGGAGTAACAATTATAGGGGATACTCACATCCCCATTTACAAACAAAATGCATGTTTTCTTAACATAAAGGAATTATCAGTAACATAAACAAGACCCGATCAGTCCAGGGCCCCGTTCTTCAAAGCGATCTTAGCGCTACGATGATCGTAAGCCTATGGTATAGTATGGGACTTACGATCACCTTAGTGCTAAGATCGCTTTGAGGAACGGGGCCATGGGCCCCACAAAGCTATCTTAGCTCTGCCATCATCGTAAGTCTGTGTTAAAGTATGAGAGTTACGATAGCCATAATCTAAGATCGCTTTGTGGAACGAGGCTCAGGAGTGTAACATTGTAAATTCAACCGTTATTCATTGGCGCCAAATGGATGTGTATAAATGACTCAGTATTGCATAATTTATTGTAAGTCAGTCATTAACGTCGATAATATTTGGCTGTGATTCACTTCAAGGTATATAGAATATAAACCTGAACTTATAGACGTATACCACTTTGGTAGAACCCACGAGCAAGGGTATGGTCCTGACACAATGATTAAATCAAGTGTAACATTGGATTCAAACTCATAATTAGCAGATGCTAGCAACCACGAGAGAAGCAAATGTGCACAGCGAGTTGCAACGCCCTAGGAATCTTAGACATACGTCTAACTAAAAGCGGCAAAACCCTTTCGATAATCATAAGAAACCTATCCTAAAAGCAGCCCATTGAACGATTCCGATATGTCTTCAGCATGTGTTCTTAATTCCACTTGTCTTAAATACTCTGTGAATATAATATAAATTGCCAATGCAAGAGAATAACCAGTCTAGATTATCCATCAAAACATATTCCATTTGGCGCAAAGGACAAAATAGCTGTGAAAAATATATGAATGGATCACTCAAAATCAGTGATGACACCAGGTGTTCTTAAAAAGGGTAAACATACACCCAACCCCCAACCCCTCTTTGCCGGTAGCACCTCAGGGTATTATACGAATGGTAGCACCCCAAAATATTATATGAATGGATCACTCAAAATCAGTGATGACACCAGGTGTTCTTAAAAAGGGTAAGCATGTCCTTCCTTGGTTGCTTTAAGGATCATAATTAATCTATGAGACAGAAACTTGGTGGTACATTTGGTGGTACAGTATTGTAAATTAACCTGTATTGTGATGCTGTCATTGATGTATTTAAGAATTGTCTTCAATATATTTTGCGTTAATAGAAGTATACATGTAAAAAAACGGTGTCCACACTGTGGAAATCCGCGTGCTCATCTGTAACATTGAAGTGACTTCTATTAAATAAATAAGTCAACAGAATTAACTTGTTACTCACTGGTTATTTAATCATTAACATAAAATCCCTGAAGGTAACGATACGAATTCAGTGCTATCGACCAGGGCAACAATGTAACACAAACCCCGCCCACTCTTTTATCAGCCAATCTGGAAACAGCAGTCCTTAAAAGGCTATGACCTTCACCTTTTCTAGATTTATGGAAACATAGCCACACACAAAATTGCTTGCTTATCCAATGAAAAGCCATGAAATCACTTGCGATATATTTTATTATTTGCAAAGTGTTGTTCGAAAATATTTCTCTCTCTAGGAAATCAACAGATGGTGAATGAAATGAAATATCATTTCCAGTTGCCAAACAACCCAGATACAAAGCAGAGGTTCAAGGACATGATCTATATGACCCAGGTGGGATGTTTGGTGGATTGATATTGAATATAAATATTTATTCAATACAGGTGTTGTCATACGTGTTGTATACACTACTAATCATGTTTTCTATATATCTAAAAAAACAGTTTGTTACATTTCATCAGTCATGTTTTGAACGTACCATCAGTCGTGTATACACAAACAGGTTAAGAGGCATTAATGGTATATACAGACATTTTGGTACATACAGACGCGCGGGCATTATTGGCACATACAGACAAACAGGCATTATTGTTCATATTGATGAACAGGCATTATTGGTACATACAGACAAAGAGGCATCATTGGAACATACAGACGAGCAGCCATTATTGGGACATACAGAAAAACAGGCAATATTGGTACATGCAGACAAACAGGCATTATTAGCACATACAGACAAACAGGCATTATTGGCACATACAGACAAAGAGTCATTATGGGCACATACAGACAACAGGCATTATTGGCACATAGACAACAGGCATTATTGGCACATACAGACAAAGAGGCGTTATTGGCACATACAGACAACAGGCATTATTGGCACATACAGACAACAGGCATTATTGGCACATACAGACAACAGGCATTATTGGCACATACAGACAACAGGCATTATTGGCACATACAGACAACAGGCATTTTTGGCACATACAGACAAAGAGGCATTATTGGCACATACAGACAACAGGCATTATTGGCACATACAGACAACAAGCATTATTGGCACATACAGACAAAGAGGCATTGTTGGTACATACAGACGAGCGGGCATAATTAGTACATACAAACGGGTATATTGGTTCATATTGATGAACAGGCATCACTGGAACATACAGACTTGCAGGAATTATTGGTGCACGTGACAAACAGGCATCACTGTTCCCAATTCAACAAAGCCCAGGAAGTACCGATGTCTCGAGTTCGGGTATAATCATTGTTATATGAATATCTGTTGTGGAAAGATTCGAATGGTTCCAGGGAAGGGCTCACGTTAAATTATCAGTGTCGTGACAATACACACCTGAACGGTAGTGGATATAACTGACACTGCTATGACTATATTTAGGTACAAACTCGAGCTCTCTGTCGGTCAGTGACTTATGTTGGATCCGATTTCAACTTCAGATCAACCAGGCAGTTTCAGTGCAGACTGCCACAGAACATTTCAGGCGCTGGCAGAATGACCTGACGTCAGATGGGCGGGGACAGACTATGGGCGCCCTCTACTGGCAGCTCGCTGACATCTGGCAGGCACCAACATGGGCTGGCATTGGTGGGTCTTGCGTTCAACATACACAATCTATACATTTACACATTGTTCCTCTTAGGAACTATATCCCCAGGTGTCAGGACGTTTTATTGTGACATTTATGTAAGAAGATCATTTGATCGTCCTGTATGTTTACCAGTATCTAAGCGGGTGGATTTATATAACAGTTTGTATTCTAACATCCTTTTATGACATATTCCCAGTGCACAATACTTGCATAATTCGATGTGACAAAGACAAATGCTTCAATGTAAGATACCACTTGAACAAATATCAGTGTTATAGTGCAACGCTACTACGAGACTACAAGCAACTTTGTTGTTTGCTGAAGATTCAATAACATATTACAACCAGTGTGTAGCTATTATGGTACCTATAAAAAAAACATACTCTCTCGTAGGTGTTATGTATACCCTAAGCTTCGGGATTACAACACGAGTAGAACTCGTGATAAGATTGCTATTTTAAACTTAAGACTACAAAGGCAAATGGAAGATGCTGCACTACTATGCTCGGAAGTTCTTCGCCCCCGTTCTTATCTCCCCCTTCATGGACGGCAACGTCCTCAACATCTACATGGTGGTGGACGAGATCCCCCTGACCGAGGTCAAGGACACCAAAACCGGCATGAACGTCTTCACCCCTGCCACCACCAGCCTCCTCCAGTCCAGCTTCCCCAACCACGAGGCCGTGCATCTGATGAAGAAGACAACTGAAGCCACCTCAGGAACACTGTACATCCAGATGTACCGATGGGACAGCTTCACCCCTCTCAAGACATGGAACGTTACATTGAAGGTAGGAAGAGGTTGTTTTAAAAACTGTACACTTCACTCACAATTATTTAAGATTAAACGCTGCGTTGTTCAACATAGACCTACAACCTAATGTGTAATGTTGACTGTAGAACACAGTAATGGCTACACGTATGTGAACATAGGTTAAGCAGTACTGCTGTGCGTCGTCAGGCAACAGACATACATTATTTCAATCTCATTAAAATCAGATCTTAGTTTTCGCTGCCGCTAAACAAAGGTCTGAGGACATCCCATTACGGGTCACGTCAGAACGACCTTTCGCGAATTTTGACCGACCAATGAAATGACCGACAAGAAATCGACATTAGCCAATCAGAAGGCAGCTTTCTCGAGCTTTACGACACTAGTTTCAACTGGCGACGACGATTCGAAACATATTTTGACTTATTCTCGATTAAAAAAAATAAAACTGATAAGAAGAACATTCTGGGATGGCTAATAGAAGGTCTAGCTTGTATGGATTCAGTCGTAATGCCCGTAACTATCGTTCGCAATACCCCGTGTTAAAGTTTTCGAGGCTGTATGATCGGAAATCACATTCCGACTGTCACTTTCATGATCTGGTAAGCGACGCTCTGATTGGTCGGATGAAAGGTCGTTCTGACGTGACCCCTAATGGGATGTCCTCAGATCTTTGTTTAGCGGTAGCGAGAACTAAGATCTGATTTAGATGAGATTGACATTATTTTTGCAAATTGTGCGTTGTGCCGCGGGACATGCTTGCCCTTTCGGCGAGCACCTGGTGTCATCACTGATTTTCAGTGATCAATTCATGTGGTTTACACAGGTGTTTTGCCTTCTGAGTCAGATAATCGAGGCTGGTTATTCTCAGGCCTTGACGTTTTATTTAATAATTTGGCTCGGAAGATGATTACATTTTTTAAACCTTAAAAATCACTCAAATCACCACATCTGCACAATTTAACGACTGTAGTAGAAATACACTACATTAATGTATACACTGTTCCCCTAGCTGTGTGGTGGACAGAACAATATTGTGGGTGGCCCAGTCGTCTAAGGCGCCGCGATTCGCTGTGCAGAGTTGCGTCCCTTGGGTACGCCAGAAACCTATGATTGTTGGTTCGAATCCCGGTTCGCCACGATTATGTTTCTAGGTTTGTCAGCACCATACCTGTGCTCGTGGGTTTCAGCGAAGTGGTAAACGTCTAAGGCCTTCATCACTTCGGGCTTTCCTCCCACATGAAGCTGACACGCCGTAATATGACTGGAATACTGTTAAAAGCGGCGTTAAACACAACTCACTCACTCACTCTTTGCAGTTGACACAGTCCTCGCAGTCAGTCTTCAGGCAAGATGTCTACTCCATGATGGCGGAGTCCAACTGTCCGGATGACCAGAGCTGTTTTGTCTACATTTATCTGAACAACCCTAGCAGTGACATCAACAAATTCTTCATGCTCACACCTATCTGTAATTACTTCGATGCCAAGGGACTTGCCAAAGCTCAACTGAAGGTATCTTACGTTCTGTGAACTGAGAAACATGAGTGAAAATCAGTGGATACTATTTGTCGAGGTTTTTTCATTCTCTAACATTTTCATGTTAATCCCTACAAACTGAGATCCCTTATTCACTGAGATTAAGACCAAATCGGCTTACTGGTCTCAGCAAATGTCTCTCACAGATAAATAAAAGCGACAAAATCCTTTCAATAATCATAGGAAATATCTGCCACAAACATTGCCATTGTACGATTCCGGCTACAGTATGAGCATATGTTCATGAATAACTATCAAATAGTAATGATACAAGATGTTCACGAATGTGAGAATGTATTTGTAATAAAACTGCTTGTTGTTTATTGTGCTCTTTCCATATACCAGTAAACACGAGTAAGACTATTGACACAAATCTTACACATGCTGTCAAATATTAAAGTCCAGCATTTCATATATTGTTTTATCCGTAAACTTCAGATGAAATATGCTTTTATTTTTAACAAATTGTGCTGAGCCTTTGAGGATTGAGACAGAGGGAAAGATGAAGGAATCATGTCACAGAAACAATAGATTGTTGTTTAGTGGGCTCGTTTCATAACACGAGTTACTAGTTTATGAGCCGGTAATCACCATCCCTACTCTCTTTCCATGGAGACTACCCATCTTCAGCTGCATCTGCAGAGCCAGATATTTTTTAATTAAAACTTTTGAGCCTAAATGTTTGTTGTTTAACGCCGCACTCTGCAATATTCCAGCTATATGACGGCGGTCTGTAAATAATCGAGTCTGGACCAGACAATCCAGTAATTCACATCATGAGCATCGATCCACGCAATTGGGATACAATGATATGCATCAACCAAGTCAGCAAGCCTGACCACCCGATCACATTAGTCGCCTCTTACGACAAGCTTAGTCGTCTTTTAAGGCAAGCATGGGTTGCTCGAAGACCTATTTTACCCCGGGTCTCAACGGGTCTCTTGCAACAATGTATTCTTTGTTGCTGTTAATTTATTTTATTTACAAAACTCAGAAGCACAATTGTGTTTTTGAGGCAATCTTTTATACACATTTCTTTTTCGATAAAATCCCAGCTGTTTCCTCTTCCCAAGAACATTAGCGTCGGCCCCTAACACCCTAACTATGTGATAACCAATTAATTATTGGTATTTTCTTGTGTGATTTTTTTCAGATAGCCGGTGTGACTAGACTGTCTGAGACCGAATTTCAACTAACACTTGTGGCGGATCACATCGCCCCGTATGTTTGGCTGGATGCCTATCGAGTCCCAGGTCGATTCTCCGACAATGGTTTTATAATGATCAATTCATCTCGAGCAGTGACTTTCACGTCTTGGGATCCCGTTGACCTTGACCTTTTCACTAAGTCTCTGTCAGTAAAATCATTAATGGATGTTTATGTGTAGAAAATACTTTTGTACAAAAGTATCAGCATGTATGAATTTACAAAAGCCACCCTTAAAAGACGTTTCGTGTCAGAAATCGACCGTCCATTTAGAGTGGTAAAGCTCCCGAGCGTTAACTCTTTTTGCGTTCTTTTTGGAAAGAATATCTTTTAAACAAGGGGATGCGCCTTAGAAGCAGGCGTTAGTACCCTTTGTGTGTTGGGAAGACTGACCAAAGTGTTAAATATGTAAATAACATCACCACTGTGTTACGAGGTAATAAACAGATATTTTTGTTTTGCTTTTTGCATGTATATTGCAATATCTACCATTCAAATTGAGACCCGTGAAGATCAGGGGGAAGAATAGGTCTTCAGCAACCCATGCATGTCGTAAGTGGCGACTATAACGGGATCGGGTGGTCAGGCTCGCTGACTTGGTTGATGCATGTCATCGTATCCAAATTGCGTGGATCCATGCTCACTGGATTGTCTTCTCCAGACTTGATTATTTACACTCCGCCGTCATAAAGTTGGAATATTGCTGAAGGCGGCGTTAAACAACAAACAAACAAACAAAACAAACAAACATTCCAATGGAAGAGTGAGTGAGTTGGGTTTCACGCCGCTTATAACAGTATTCCAGTTATATCACGGCGTGTCAGCTTAATGTGGGAGGAAAGTCCGAAGTGATGCAGGTCTCAGACGTTTACCACTTTGGTGAAACCCACGAGCACGGGTATGGTGCTGACAAACCTAGAAACATAATCGGGGCGAACAGGGATTCGAACCCACAATCATAGGTTTCTGCCTAAGGGACGCAACTCTGCACAGCGAATCGCGGCGCCTTAGACGACTGGGCCACCCGTGCCCCCTCCAATGGAAGAGTCTACTTGTCGGCAATAAGTGGTTGAAACAAGTCTAGCAATGGGATCTGTTTCGGTGAATAATCGAGACTGTTAATATGCTCTGGCGATGACGTTTTATATTTACAGTCGACTACCCCCGCTCGCAGACGGCAAAAACTTTGACACTTTATCAGTCGGATGTAAGTTCTCTTGATCATTTTCAAGAAATGGCGAAATATAATTTTTTAACGCTGTTGTTTTAAATTATGTGTACCTGCGTACCTCTAACTATTAAAGGGGCGGTCGGGTAGTCTAGTGGTTAAAGTATTCGCTCATCACGCCATCACGAGTTCGATTCCCAACATGGGTACAATGGGTGAAGCCTATTACTGGTGTCCCCCGTCGTGATATTGCTGGAACATTGCTAAAAGCAGCGTAAAACCTTACTCACTCACTCACAAACTTAGTAAAATAACGTACGATGGAAATCTGACATTTCCACATTTGATAAACACGGCGGCGTTAGCTTCAATAAAATCCAGCAGATGGCGCTCTATGGTGTTTCTCGTTTGAGCTATACCGTGATGTAAACAATATCACGAAAATGGGGTACCCACGAAAAGGGTGACGGGACGGAGTAATATTGAACGCATGATCACGCGCTAAGTTGACAGACAATGAACCACGTCACCCATTGTGATCAATCGAACCTAAGGTTTGCCAGCTCTATCCGCAAGGGTACAGTTTGTTTGTTTGTTTGTTGTCAGCGAGCCTGATCACCCGATCACATTAGTCGCCTCTTACGACAAGCATGGGTTGCTGAAGACCTATTCTACCCCGGATCTTCACGGCTTACAGGCTGGGGTACTTCCCTGCAATCCACACAGGGTATTATAAAACTATTAAAAAGGACGACCCGTGAAGATCCCGGTTAAAACTGATCTTCAGCTACGCATGGCCAGACTCGCCAACGTGGTTGATGCATGTCCGCGCATCCTGGTTGCGTAGATCGATGCTCATGATGTCAATCACCGGAAAGTCTGGTCCAGACTCGATTATTTGCATTCCGTTGTCATATATAGCATGAATGTTGCTGAGTGTGGCGTTAAACAACAAACAAAAAGAACAAAAGTAACAAGGGTGATAGATTTAACAATATGTTTTAATGCATCACGAACTTTTTTCAGCCCTCACATGGCCTACTCAGGGCCCACTATATGTAGGAAGGGGCGACGAGGAAGCCAGACAGGGTTGTGTATACCCCGTTCCTCCTTCCATACACATATGTCGTATGTCTTCTTGCCTTTACCGATATCGTGTCCCCCTTCGTCAGCTGCAAGATAACGGAGTTGGCAGCAGTTGCATAATCAGTACGTCCCCATGCACTCACGACAAGTTTGTGGTTTTTGGTCAGATCGAGCCAAGCTTCTCTACCCCTCTGAGTTAAGGCGGACATCTGGAAAGTATAGATTCCGTTCTGAGGACATGTGAAGATCCCCGTATTCAGGTCGTATGCGTGTCCGATGTTGAGAAATGTGTGGTCGAAGCAAAGGGTTTCTCCTTTGCCAAGTGCAACACTGTTCAACAGACCAGCTGAGAAGGCCACCTGGTACTCAGTATCAGCCGAAGCTGAAACAATATGTGAATATTTATTATATATTTTTATACGTTCGTATTGGAAACAGATTGCCTGTCACGTTGATCGTGTCGGCCATTGTGTTTCTTTGTTTGTTGTATCACGCCGTACTCAGCAATATTCCAGCTATATGACGGCAGTCTGTAAATAATCGAGTATGGACCATACAATCTAGTGATTGATATCATGGGCATCGATCCACGCAATTGGGATACAATGATATGCATCAACCAAGTCTGACCACCCGATCCCGCTTGTCGCCTCTTACGACATGCAAAACCGCCTTTTATGCCAAGAAGAGCGATTCTACCCCGGATCTTGACGGGTCGTCGGCCATAGTGACGTCTAGAAATCAATGTGTCACGACGCGCCGTCACTGTCACAGACTTACTGAGGTCGTTCAAATGAAGATAGGACGTTACTAGTGAGCATTTTGAGCATACATAAGATCAAATAGATCTAATACATATATCTCGGTTTGAGGAACTATCTTTCTTCGATATAAAAGTGTTTGCATCGCTGAAAGTGTAAACAAGGTATTGTTTGTTTGATTCTTTTTTCGTTTGTTGTTTAACGCCGCACTCAGCAATATTCCAGCTATATGACATGCATAAACCAAGTCAGCGAGCCTGACCACCCGATCCCGTTGGTCGCCTCTAACGACAAGCACAATAGACTGTTACGGCAAGCTTTGGCCGCTGGAGATCTTTACGGGTCGAAAACAAGGTATATAACCTTGGCATAATTGTGTTGAGCATGTCAGCGATTAAATAGGGTTTGGTTGTAGATGCAGACTTAAAAACGTCTTGAAGTGATTGCTAATCTTACCCTTACAATCGAATTTGTCAAAAGCGGATTCTGACTAATACGGATTTCTGTCAATATACCGATTTTACCAGATTGAATACTAACAATTCTTTCAACCTTTTATTCATTTTCTGTTTCTTTGTCTCGTGATGTTATCGCACTCAGATCTCTGTCTAACCCGAACAAACATTTGGTCCCACAGATGTCCGGTTTAGACAGAATCAACTGTAATTTAGTTCACATGTTGAAAACAATGAGTAAAAGTTTACAATAATAAGCAACAATGTACACTATTAAGGGCGGTTAACTGTACTTCTTTCAGAATCACGTTTGACCCGACAATATTTAGAAACAAGTTTGTAGAGATTCTTTAAAGATAGCGAGTGATAGTCTACTTCTTGTGGCCCTAACCGTCATATTGCTGAAATATCGCTGACGTAAAACCTGACCCCCTCACTCTCATTTGATCGAAACCCCTCTACGCTCCATCCGAGTGAACAAACAAAAATACTCACTAAACCCCCAACTCCGTGCCTCGATTGACGGTGACAGAAGACAACATTCTAGAGCTATCTGAATTTAAGGAAGTGAATTTATGGATGTCAACTTATTTATTATGAAGCACCCAACGGTTCAGAGTATATACTTAATCCTTCATCAGGCAAGGGAGTAAGTATATACTCCGAAACGTTGAGTTACTCATAATAAAGAAGTTGACATCCATACATTCTCTTCCTTATGTATATCATTTCTAAATGTGTTTCAAAGACTTTATCTGAATTAACATCAGCACCTTTTCCACACACTTATATAAACCACTATAAATTAATCGTTATTTCATAAATGATTGACGAATACCTACTCGCCACACGTTCATTGACAACTTTGCCATGTAGACTGGAACAGACTCTATTTTATTATAATAACACGAAAATATGTATCAAATATACGCAAGAAGCAACCAAAAAACATAGAACAAAACATTGCTTGATAAAAGTGATAAATTAGACGGTTTTTGATACTTTCGGAACACTAGGCTAGAGAAATGTAGTATATCTCGTTTTTTTTATATAATTTTTCAAAGCTCATATTTCAAAAAGGGACTGCTTCAAATCTACCTGTCACGTTGATCGTGTCGGCCATGTTGACCTTCTGTACTTGAAGTTTGTTTTTGTTTGTTTGTTGTTTAATGCTGCACTCAGTAATATTCCAGTCATATGACGGCGGTCTGTAAATAATCGAGCCTTGACCAGACAATCCAGTGATCCACATCATGAGCATCGATCCACGCATTTGAGATCGATGACATGCATCAACCAAGTCAGCGAGCCTTACCACCTGATCCCGTTAGTCGCCTCTTACGACAAGGATAGTCGCCTTTTACGGCAAACATGGGTTACTGAAGACCTATTCTACCCCGGATCAACACGGGTCTCATCTCTCTGGGGCCCCATAACCAATTATCAGTTATATTTATTATTCTCACAGATGTCTTAATGTCCTAATTCTTTTTCCTGGAACAGTTCACTTCTATGATTTCGTTTCTGACCTGTGGAATGAATCATCATTTCGAATCCCTCGTTTCGCCTCTGAGTACGGGATTCAGGCCTGGTGTGACATCGAGACCCTGGAAGATGTGTTTGACTCGGGGGACTTTGACTACTGGGGACCAATGTCCAGTCACAGGAATCATGAGGACCATGGTCAGTGCTAATGTTCTAAAGCTATCACCTCTATCAGTCACAGCGAGCCTGATCACCCGATCCCGTTAGTCGCCTCTTAAGACAGGCAAAGTCGCCTTTTACGGCAAGCATGGGTTGCTGAAGACCTATTCGACACCGGATCTTCACGGGTCGTACTTGAAGTAAAGGTATCACGACGCACCGTCACTGTCACAGACTTACTGAGGTCGTTCATCACACACACTGCTCTTCAAATGAAGATATTTTTCAGATCTGTGTATTATAACCAAATTACAAAGGACGTTACTCTTGAGCATTTTGAGCATACATACGATCATATAATATCTCGGTATATCTTTTTTCCGCGATACACGTGGTTACATGGCTGTCAGTGTATACACGAGGTCACAAGTATGAGATGAAATTGAAAATGTGTATACATCCTTCACGGTAGGGATATATGAATAATATAAAGTCAATTCCCAATATGTTATCGTAGCCCCAACGTTTATTGCCCCCTGAGAGACAGATACACTTTAATGCTCTGGTAGTTTCCACCTCTCCTCATCAGGGCCAAGAAAGCAAAGCTCATTTATAAATCCTATCCCGGAACCCTAAGGGGGCGAGAAATCCCGACCGCCTCCGAGGCCTAGTGGATGGATCGTTTGTGCGGCAGGTCGGTGGTTCGATCCCCCGCCGCGTCATACCCAAATACGTTAAAAGATGCTACTTGTTGTTACCCTAACTGGCGCTCGGCACTTCAAAGAGATAAAACAAGGACTGGTGGACTCGAGTCAGTATATTGTGTCTGAGTAGGATATCCATGTTCAACTCCGGTAGGTATCTCAGTGGGCTAGCGCTATTAAACCTGCATTAGTCCTGACTTGTACAAACAGCCACGCGCGCGCGCACGCACACACACACACACACACACACACACACACACACACACACACACACACACACACACACACACACACACACACACACACACACATACACACACACACGTGCATGCACGCTATGTAAGTACAATAATCTTGAACCCTATTTCACCACAGCTCACATTTAGCAAAACCGATTGAATATAAACATGTAAATGTAGGAACAGTATATACCCTATGTTAGTGTAGGTAAACCTTTATACATACCCGAAATCACCAGCATCAAAGCGCAGATGTAGTATCGGTTCATCTCAGGATACGACGGCGGAATATAGTCATTGCTGAGAATATGACTATCTGATAAAGGTCCACTAATTCAGTGTCATTTATATAGAGATCGGACCGATCTGATAAACTTACACGTGTATATCGATGTCCATGTTATTACCTTGATTTATGACATTGGCAGGTCCGTAAATCGACGATATTGGTCACACTTCGGGAAACATGTCACCACTAGTTTTCACCTGGCAATACATCTAGCCTCACAATACACCATATGTATTGCTTACCTCAAGGCAATACACTAGACCCGTGAAGATCCGGGGTAGAATAGGTCTTCAGCAACCCCAAAAGGGGACTTTGCTTGTCGTAAGAGGCGACTAACGGGATCGGGTGGTCAGGCTGGCTGACTCGGTTGATGCATGTCATCCCCATTGCACGGATCGATGCTCATGATATCAGTCACTGGATTGTCTGGTCCAGACTCTATTATTTACAGACCGCCGTCATATAGCTGGAATATTGCTAAGTGCGGTCTTAAACAACAAACACAATACACTAACTGGGGGGAATGAAATAAATCCATAATTAATGATAATCAGAATCCATTCGAGATTATAATACAAAATGTAAAATAATATGAAACATATTTTAGAGCGCTGTAAATGAATTTCAAGTTAGGCAATAAATAAAACCCTTTCCATATTCAACAGAAATCTCTGCTAAAAACAATGTCGATTGTACGATTCCGACTATGTCATGCGCATGTGATTATGACTCACTGTCCAATAGTGATGATACCAGGTGTTCGCGAAAAGGTGAGCGTATCCTGCCCCAACGGTGGCTCACGTTACAAATACATTGAAAGGCAAGTTAATTGTTCACCTGAAAAAAAACACATGAACATATGGTACAGAAGCAAGTCAAGCGTTCACCTGACAAACCGCGTCAAAATGGTAAACATGGTACAAATCAAAATAGGAGATTGCATCGGACATAATTTTAAAGCTTTACTGAATCCCTGATCAAACGACGTTTGGGCAAGAGTTGTATGGTGCTTTTTCAAAAAAAAAAATTTTTTATAAAAAAAAAAAAAAATAATAATAATAATAAAAAAAATATATATATAAATATTAAAAAATGATGAGTTTTGAAATTTTCGTGGAATAGAACATACTCCATTGTACTTCAAAAGTTGCGAAATCTAAACACCAAAGGCTTGAGCTGCTGAAATCTCACACCATATGAAGGGAAAGTTGACTATCGGAAAGTTTAAGTCATCCCTCTTGGCATGCAGTCTTTTGGAGAGATTTTTGTCACTCTGAATCTTTATTTATAGATCTAAATATGAAACAAAAATAGGGGGTCTCAGTGGTCACTTATATATTTCTAGTACAGATGGGTACAGGGAATTGGCTAACTGACCATTATTGAAAGATGTCAGATCATCGATATACCCGAAATGTATCTTAAACTTGTCCCTTATTTAGCTTTTGCCAATCCGAGACCCTAATGCACAAAGAAATAGATCAACAAGAAGGGCAGCACCAATGGTGCCCATCGGGGTGGGGGTGGGGGGTTTACCTACTTCTTGCCTAAATGTCTAACCCCCTTTTCCACCTTTATGTTATATGTGTTGTAGGCCAGCATTTCACATACATGTAAATATTATTTCAGTTGGCATTTGCTTTCAATTTTGATAAATTGCCCCGAACCTTTGAAGAGAGAAATATAAACTGTAAATATGGTGTAACCCCACTGGCCCAAGGCCCGTCCCCGGTGTTGCCTGCCACCCCAATCTTTGCCGCCTGTAGTAAGCTGGGTCACACCGTACAAAAAGAGATAGTTTACTGAGCCCAGGAAATGTACCACCAAATCCGGTTTCAAAGAATGACCATAAAGACCCCTTTGTTGTGGTATCCACAGAAAGTATTTTGGACAAGTGGAATTAAAAACATGTATCTATAAATATTTCAAATAAACACGAGGGCACAAAATCAACATTATAACCATCATCACCCCAATCATCTCAGCTTTATCCTCTTATTTCATATTTTATACAGGGCTGGGGGTTGCGAAATATGGTGAGATTAGTAAAGTGGTTACCGCGTTGCTCTTTTTTTCTCCGCCATGTTTGAACTTCAAGCGAATGAGGGGGCACGGGTGGCCTAGTCGTCTAAGGCGCCGCGATTCGCTGTGCAGAGTTGCGTCCCTTGGGCACGCCAGAAACCTATGATTGTGGGTCTGAATCCCGGTTCGCCCCGATTATGTTTCTAGGTTTGTCAGCACCACACCCGTGCTCGTGGGTTTCACCAAAGTGGTTAACGTCTGAGACCTGCATCACTTCGGACTTTCCTCCCACATTAAGATGACACGCCGTGATATAACTGGAATACTGTTAAAAGCGGCGTTAAACCCAACTCACCCCCTCACTCACTCAAGCGAAGTTTGATTCTGCGCCCATGTCACGTACACGGTTTACTGTTTTAGTATCAGACAGCCAGTTTGAGAAAAACAAATCTGATCAGACTAGTCAGAAAGATTTATTTTTCTCCACTGTACAGTTATTGGCATAAGACTATTGACGTTAAGTCCGCAACGAAAGTTTGTTTTGTCGACTGTTGCATATTTTTATCGACGTGTGTGTTATGGCGATTTAGAACGGCGCTTGAGACGAAACGTAACTGTTTATGATACTGATTGACAGAAATTATTTAAATGGTATTGAAAGACAGCTATGATCGTTAATATTAATGGTACAAGAAACGTTTAGAGACAGGAAGTTCAAGGTCAACGCGTAAACATTGGAAGGCCAAGCCTGAATTGATCGACAGAGCACGGTCGCATCATGGTCGTGCTGCGATATCTCGTATACCAGTTGTCGCACATGGTCGACAATCGTAGCGCTAAGAACGGGGCCCAGAGCTCCACAGGAAAGATGACGAGGAAAGCAGCTTCGCTTATTTCTCTCAGTCGACCCTGGAACATCGCGGCCTTCCAAAAAAATATTTGGATTTGGTGCAAGTCTCCCATTATCTCAATAATCAAGTTCAGGATAACGCAGTTTGACTAAATTTATTTCACTGATTATCGACCTGCCTTCCATCCCACGTCTATAACGTGACCAAATATTGATTTTCTTAATGACACCGTTCACCGTAAACTAAAAAGTAATGACGTTGTTAGAAATTATCAAACTTATGAATGACATTTACGATTTGATTAACGAATATATTTAACAGTGTGCAGTGTGAAAAACGTGATGTATAATTTCATTATAGCCATAAAACGTGTATTAAGAGTATCAAGTTACAGGATGCAACAGTAATACAAATCACCCACGTGCTCATACGTCAATAAACCACGTGGGGATTCAGGGTTCGAATAGGTCCCAGCAAGCTATGTTGATTGTACGAGGCGACTTAAAGTATCTTGTGGTCAGGCTCGGTGACTTGGTCATCTTACTTGGATCGTTGCTCAAAATATCGATCACTTTTTTGTCTGATCCAGCCTCAATTATTTGCAGGTTGCGGTCATATTGTTGTAAGATTGTTGGGTGTGGAGTTAAACAACAAATAAAACAACATTATTGTCTCTATGTCACAGTCTAGTAAGCCTATTCTGGTTAGAGAAATTATATTAACAGGTAGATAGTCTCTCAAGCACTAGCCCACTCCTTGTTGTTAATGGATAAGTAACGTTGCCTGTCTCTTGATAAGTAATGTGACCTTAATGTAGCTGGAATATTGCTGAGTGCGGCGTTAAACATCAAACAAACTAAACGCAATAAATTCCATATACATAAACAGTCAACATGAAGCTGAAGTATCCCTTGGCAAACCATTATCTCTCAGTCGCTGAAGCATCCCTCGACAAACCATTATCTCACACTCACTACAGCATTCCTCGACAAACCATTATCTCTCAGTCGCTGAAGCATCCCTCGACAAACCATTATCTCACACTCGCTACAGCATCCCTCGACAAACCATTATCTCACACTCGCTACAGCATCCCTCGACAAACCATTATCTCACACTCGCTACAGCATCCCTCGACAAACCATTATCTCACACTCGCAACAGCATCCCTCGACAAACCATTATCTCACACTCGCTACAGCATCACTCGATAAACCATTATCTCGATCTCGCTACAGTATCCCTAGATAAACCATTATCTCACACTCGCTACAGCACCCTCGACAAACCATTATCTCACACTCGCTACAGCATCCCTCGACAAACCATTAACTCACACTCGCTACAACATCCCTCGACAAACCATTATCTCGATCTCGCTACAGCATCCCTTGACAAACCATTATCTCACACTCGCTAGAGCATCTCTCGACAAACCATTATCTCGATCTCGCTACAACATCACTCGACAAAAACCATTATCTCACACTCGCTAGAGCATCCCTCGATAAACCATTATCTCACACTCGCTACAGCATCCCTCGACAAACCATTATCTCAATCTCGCTACAGCATCCCTCGACAAACCATTATCTCACACTTGCTACAGCATCCCTCGACAAACCATTATCTCAAACTCGCTACAGCATCCCTCCACAAACCATTATCTCACACTCGCTACAGCATCCCTCGACAAACCATTATCTAACACTCGCTACAGTATCCCTCGATAAACAATTATCTCACACTCGCTACAGCATCCCTCGATAAACCATTATCTCACACTCGCTAGAGCATCCCTCGACAAACCATTATCTCACACTTGCTACAGCATCCCTCAATAAACCATCATCTCACACTCGCTACAGCATCCCTCGACAAACAATTATCTCACACTTGCTACAGCATCCCTCAACAAACCATTATCTCACACTCGCTACAGCATCCTTGACAAAAACCATTACTCACACTCGCAACATCATCCCTCAACAAACAATTATCTCACACTCGCTACAGCATCCCTCGACAAACCATTATCTCACACTCGCTACAGCATCCCTCGACAAACCATTATCTCACACTCGCTACAGCATACCTCGATAAACCATTATCTCACACTCGCAACAGCATCCCTCGACAAACCATTATCTCACACTCGCTACAGCATCCCTCGACAAACCATTATCTCACACTC